TTATTATTATTTTTGCTGATGTTCTCTACAAAAGGCTTCGTGGACGGACAGACCAGACCGCAAGAGGAAGAAAGCAAAATAGATGGACTGAGGACACTGCAGTACTGTTATTTGTTATTGTTGTTGTGTATTGCCATAGTTGTTGTCTCTGTCGCTATTGCCACTGTAGTTATTATTTGCTGTTGTTGTTGTTGTCTGTTGTTTGTTGTTTGTTGCTACAGTTGCTGTTCCTCAGGCTGTATTTATTGACACTGTTTCCTTAATCCACAACCAGTGGATGGTTGGCGGGTGCACTGGTGTAGTTTACTTCTTCTTTCCCGTGAAACATCTATCGTCCTTATCTCCCTTTCTTCTTTTTCACGTTTGTTACTCTCTTGTAACACCTCGAATCACCTCGAATCTTCTGGCGCTCATATCACATTACGCAGTCGCGAGCGCCCTAAAACCTCAACTAAAACAAAAGCGTACGGATCGGATTAACGAGTAATACATTTCCTCTTTGGAAAGTGGTGACACACGAGTTCCCACGTCGTATGGATACGATAGTAAAAAAACGACGTTAGTACGGATAGGGATAATCCACAACCTTCCTCTTTCCCCTCCCCAGCGGCCCAGAAATGGAGGCGGGCCACTACATCCGCCTGATCGTGTTCCCGCTCCTCCTCCTGTGCGGAATCGTGGGGAACCTTCTGGCCTTCCCGGTCCTGTACAGCATAGGTCGCTCCGCCTGGTCCACCGTGTGGTACCTCATGCTGCTGGCACTGACAGACCTGGTCATACTGCTGGTGCGCTGCGGTGACACGTGGTGAGTCTGTCTGTACGTCTGTCTATCAGTCTGTCTGCGTTTGTCAGTCTGTCGCTGTAGCGATTGGCCCTGACAGTGACAGATTTGGCCATACTTTTGGAGCGCGGTGGTGACCCGTGGTGAGTCTGAACATAAAGGCCCGCGAGTGTCTGTCAGTCTGCCTGTCTGACTGTCTGTCTGTTGGTCTGTCTGTCTGTTTGTCAGTCTGTCTGTCTAAACGTCTGTCTGTCTGTCTGTCTGTCGGTCGGTCTGTTTAAACGTCTGTCTGTCTGCGTCTGTCTGTCTGTGTGTGTCAATCTGTCGCTCCGCCTGGTCCACCGTGGGGTATCTCATGCTGCTGGCCCGGACAGACCTGGTCATTTTGCTGGTGCGCTGTGGTGACACGTGGTGAGTCTGTCTGCCCGTCTGTCTGTCTGTCTGTCTGTCTGTCTGTCTGTCTGACTGTCTGTCTGTCTGTCTGTCTGGCAGGGCTAAACGACCGAGATATCGTGTGAGATGGAGCGGTGATTGTTCTGTGTGTGTGTGTGTGTGTGTTCTGTGTGTGTGTGTGTGCGCGTGTGTGTGAATGTGTTCTGTGTGTGTGTGTGTGTGCTGCCTACCTTCTATCTCCCTCCATCTCGGCCACAAGTTGCGGTCTGTGTGTGTGTTTGTGTGTGTGTGTGTGTGTGTGTGTGGAGAGAGCGATAAAACCCCGTGTGGGTCGCAACTGCAGCAAACCTGGGCTTCCGTCCACTAACCCCATCTCTCTCTCTCCATCTCCATCCCCCTCTCTCTCCCTCTCTCCATCTCTCCACCTCTCTCTCTCTCTCGCTCTCTCCATCTCTCCTACCTTCG